GTTTTATGTCCGCAATGTGTTCTTTAAGTCTACTGGACATATTGCGTTTAGTTTGCCCTATGTAAGACAGTAATTTTTTTTTTTTTATATTCCATAAAAATACAAAGACAATATATATAAAAAAAAACATCTTCTACTACATTTACCATGGAGTGTGGTCAGAGGAGTTGTTCGGATTAATGCCTCCAGGTGAATTTCATCATCGGTCGTCGAGGCAATATTAGAAATTCACACATATCACACGAACGACGGATTTCGCAACAGAGCGTTATTAAGGCATCCGCGCACCACCGCTATGTGGAATGACCATTCACGAAAAGAGTCAGCTCTCTGGCATCGTGAGTTTCCATGGGTAATGGTATCACATCAGATGAAACTTATAATTATTATAGAATTTATATTTATATGGATTTCCCGAGGCAATCCACATAATTTTCTATTTTTTGCTTATGCCTCGTGGCTCGTGACCATAGACACAAAGACTGGTGAATTCGGCACAAGCATATTATATTCTTAGCCAAAAATATACCTGCCAATGTTTATTTACTCAAATCCTCATTTCAATAAGAATTTGTTTCCATTAAGGTTCCTATAATAATAACTTATATGCTATTTTGAAATGTTTTCTCGATAAAGCTTTTTAAAAGTAAAAAAGCTCTTTCGACGAAGCTAATATGCAAACGGCGTAACTAAAAACATTAAAAATGAATTCATCAACGATCGACAACTTGAATATTCATGTGTAGATTGTAAAGTTATCGGAAAATTATTTGAATTAGTAAAAGCTATACTTTTTGTATACCATATGTATCATACTAGTTTAAAGTTATTTTATTATAATGATTCTATTGTACATAGATTTTATCTTTTATAGGAACATTTTAATATATAACACAACAAAGAATAAGTGCTGTCGATGAAAAAAAGCACACGTTTAGGATTACTTGAATAATTAAAAAAATATGCATAAGTTCTCACTTAAAAGCTACCAATGCCAAGATATCTATTAGATTTTGATTCCAAAAATGCCTTAAAATTGCCTGTCAAAAATTTTTGCAGGAAACATTTTTATGGGGCTCTATTCAATCGCTTTGTTATAATTTACGCTTATTTTATTTATTTATTTATTTATTTTATTTATTCTATACAAGATCCTAAATAGAAAGAAGTTGGCGTGGTGGAAACACAAACTGGACACAGTTTTTCCGTCCACCAGGTCGTCGTCTTGAATCGCTAAACTGAATAATTTCGATGACAGAGACAAATGAAGCAGTAACGTAAATTTTTCAAATAATAAAAAAAAAACTTAATGAAAATTTTAAAAAATAACGATCGAGAAATATAAATATTCATCAATATTGTGAAGATTTATGCTTATTGCATATATTTGTCTTGTTATAACTTTTAAAATATGATAAGTTAATAACTTTATTTATTTGATTATTTAATAAACAAAAGAAAAGAAAAGAAAATAAAACAAAAGAAACAACAACAAATTACAAGGACATCGGGCGGCCTTATTCCTATCAAGCGATCTCTTCCAGGCAGACCTAGTTAAAATATACTAAAAAAAGAAATAGTAAGGGTAAGGTGCAAGAGTTTTTAATATGTTTACATTGTCAAAAGATTAGCTAAATATTAATAATGAGACTGAACATAGTCATTTATCCAAAACACAGTAAATGACCTTACTTTTCGGATTAATACATGCGGTTAATCATCATCGGACGTAAAGACAGTATGCAAAATTCCACCCGATTCACCTACTAGACTTTAAGGCAATTCTTGAAACCAACACACACCGATTTATGAAACCAGCTACCAGTCCAGTTATTTTCAAACCGTTACGACTTACGGGCTTTGAAGAGAAGTGCATACCCAGTATCTTATAGCCCGGCAACGTACTTGCAAACCTTCTAGTTGCAAGTGTGCATAGGCTTATGTAACACGTATATAACAACTAGCGGACCCCACAGACGTTGCATAATATTTCAAGCGATTAGGATATTAAATAAAGTATGAAATTACCGACTGCAGCGCCATCAGCCGAGCAGAAGAATTGGTAATATATATATATTTACCAATTCTTCTGCTATATATATATAAGCTATCCTATCTTTTAAGTTTAAATGGCACACGTTGCGCAAATTTGAATGAAGTAGTAGTTTAAGGCTAAGTCAACATGTAACGCGCGTTAACGGTCAACGCGCGATCAAATTTATTAAGAATTCAGATGACAAGCGCTAACGCGCGTTGCGACTTGTGAGAGCTCGTCAGTCTGTTTCGATAGAGCTTAAAAATGGACGTGGAAGAAGCTATTATTTTGTAATAGTATGGTAATATTACAAAAAAGTCTTTTTGAGAGTCGGTATGATTACAGAAAATTAAAACCAATTCTTCCCGAGCACGTCGTTTAAAAATTTTATTTTTATAGAAATCTGAAGCTATATCCCAAATCGCTGGACTTTTCCGGACTTCATCAATTACTTAGTTAATCGATTTCAATATCTTGAGATTCACTCATTTTGAACTGCATACGAAACCAAAAAGTACAATCGCGATGAAAGCGCGCGCCCAACTGAACAGTCTATAAGAGTCCGGACCAACAACGTAACGCGTAATTTATATATATTAAGATTAACTTTAAGTTACCCGCCTATTTGATTGCATCCAGTCCCATAAAAAATGTGCAAATAGATGGTATAACCTTATAATGCTACTCTTTATCTATAAAAAGTGTTACTAAGGCCACATTATTTTATTTATTCAATTCGGACGAGCTAAACTTACGCTGTGCCGGTTTATTTATTAATAACCTAAGGCACTCTTACGTTGAAATTCTAAACCAGGTCGGGACATAAACGCTGTCTTCGTGCAAAATAATATAAAGCTTAAAATAACACAGATAATGGAAATCAGCTTGCTTACGCCAGTTGCAGTCGGATAACAGGTAGTAATTGTTCTCTCCATCGCATTGTGTCTTTTGATAATGAAATACGGTTAATTATAACATACGTATTGCTTTGTTCTTGTACAGAAGCACACACGAGACAACACTTATAGATAGGAATAATATTTGAAAATACACGATCTAAAATAATATTTGAACTAAAATGGCTTGTCATATTTCAACATTATGCCAGAACAGATCAATTAACAGTGACAAAGGTGGTTAAGAAGGAACCGTATAAAATTAAACCACCAAAATATTTAAAAAAAATACACAATGCATAGCTGCTTCCTCTGATCTGTGGCATGGCTGAGTCAGAATTATTTCGGCGCAAAATTATAGCGAAGTATTTTGCGAGGAACTTTCGCGAAGAGCCAAAGCAAGTTAGGAATACTTTAGGCTAGTTTTTCCTTAAGTATGTGCTTTACATATTTAGGTTAAATGATAAAAACATAATCAGCCTTTACGTACTTAATTTATACATTTGTCTCCTTCAGTCACATTGTTTTAATAAAATGAGAAATCGATACTGTAGATAAGAGGTAAAATTGTGTTTTTTAATAGAACAGAAGTGCGTGTTGTTACCACGAGAATTTAAGTGCGTGCTCCTATTTCACTATGCCTCCTGCTGATAGAAGACAAATCTTTGTTTTTAATTTATTTTATTATTATTAATTACTTAAGATGTCATGTGAAACATGGTGTATTGGTTGCAGCTCCACACAAACGTTGTGTAAAAAAAAACATGGCGATTAAAAAGAGTGGCGGAGAGTTTATTGCCTGTTCTTCTCTTCCATTCTACGCCGTGAGAACTGGCAGTAAATGTAAAATTAGAAGCATTTAATTTATATTTCTTTTTTGACGTTCATAAGTGTACATTGTGTTACCTATATGAATAAATGTTTTTGATTTGATTTTGATTGGAGAAGGAAACTGGAGTGAAGGCTTATCTGATGTTAAGTGATGTGGACCATACATAAAAATCACACTCTTTCTTTATTTTTTATTGTTGAAGATTTACATGTTTAATATAAACTGCGTGACCACCAATTTGATAAAATTAACTAATTCTGGAGCCAATTCTCACATCTCAAATGGGCATTGTTGGTCTAAGCGCAATAAAGGTCGACAATGAGGCACTTTACCCGTGTGTAGGACAGTATTCCTTGTTAGTGGAAGATATATAAGTATGAGCAAAAACAAACGAAAGTCCAGACAGTGACAAACAGATGCAATTTGTAATCTAAATCTTCACTTCACTTAATATATTTAATATATAATGGATAAACCAAATTAATATAATAATAATTATTATGTATTAAAACCCGTTATTATAATGATTGTTGCAAAGGAAAAAGTATTTTTTATTTTTTTTATTTAGAATTTACACACTTTGCCTACTATTAATAGAAAATATATTAATATTTGATAGAAACATTTCTTTTTTTTTTTTTAGTTTTTACTTGTTTAAAAATTTTAAGCAAGGAATAACTCTAGCTCTCTAACTTGTTAAAAAATTAAATCGTAAACTATATATATATATATATATATATATATATATATATATTAATATGCGCTAAGTGTTGTTAGGTTTTCATAAGTGATTTAAGAGAATAAGTCGAAATATTAGATATTTTTAATAATGATTTTTATTTAATTTACAGGATCTAAAATCATTGTAATATTTGAAACCTATTTTTTATAATAATTTAATTTTTGAGAATTTAATTGGCGCTACCACCTTTTTGTGTCTGCCTTGACCTCATTTTTGTGTCTGTTTCGTGGTCATTTGTTTTTCTAATAGGCAATCAGCCTTCTGTCCCTGACACACGCCGTCGACATTTTGGGTCTAACACCGGTTTCCTCACGATGTTTTCCTTCACCGTTAAGCGAGTGTTAAATGCGCACATAGACGGAGTCCGTTGGTACACAGCCGCGATTCAAAAGGCAGTAGCCTTAGGGATGAGAGTCACACGCTGAAGCCAATAGTTTTTCTCTTGCTCAGGCCTTGCTTTAAATGCCTATTACTCTTCTATTAAGACAGACTTACCTTCCGGTACGGCTAATGAAGTAAGAAGAAAGTGGACGCAGGCCGCCCCAGTCCCATGACCCATTAGTGTGACGTTCGTGGGATCACCACCAAACACAGCAACGTTCTCCTTGATCCAATGGAGCGCAGCAATCTGGTCCATAATACCATAGTTGGCAGGTGACCGAGGGAACTCATCTGACCGAGGGTTGAGGAAGCCTGCGAGGAAAGTTTTTTCTTTTATAGTCTTTGTAATATTGGAAATTATATCAGGAATTTTTTTGCACAGCTATGTGTTTTTTAAGGCAGTTTTTACCGGGCACCACTATGTGGAACCATTTGCCCACCGATCAATTCGACTTAAGTAACTCTTTCAAGAAAAGAGCGTACCAATTCATAAAAGACCGGCAGCGCACTTGCGAGCCCTCTGGCAATGTGAGTGTCTATGGGCGGCGGTCTCAATTAACATCAGACAAGACTCCTGCCCGCGTGCCCGTGTTACATATTTAAAAAAAATAGGTACTACAATATTTTAAATTAATTTGATTGTTTGTCAAATTAATATTTTCAGGAATGAAAACACCCTTTCCAGACAAAGCTTAACAATTACACTTAGCTTCATTAGCGAATCTAATTTCACTCTCTGCGGCAATCCAAATTCTAAATAATTATTATCTTTCGTTTAGAAATCTCTTAAAGAAGCTTTGTTACAATAATAAACATCCTTTATATAATCTAAGCGATAAAACGGTTTCATAAAAGGCAAAAGCAACGGAAATTAAAATCCTTAGAAGCTACAAAATTTAATGGCGTTACAAAAGCGGTGACGTGTCGCGACTGTCAATGTATCCAGTAGTGTGGGTTAAACTTTACTAGCGGCTTCCCGGCTTCGCACGGCTGAATCTACGAGGACTCTGAATCACGCTTGCAAAGTTATTCCAGTCGCTAAGGATATATACAACTTCTATACCTTAGGCCATTGGTTAGACTGTCCGAGGTTCCTCCCTTTAGGTGGAATTAATGTTTAAATAAAATAAATCAGTGGAACCTTTTTTTTTTAGGTCTGGGCCTCAGATTTCTGTATCTGTTTCATGATCATTTGTAAATCTAATAGGCATAGACAGCCTTCTGTGCCTGACGCAAGCCGTCGACTTTTTGGGTCTAAAGCAAGTCGGTTTCCTCTCGATGTTTTCCTTCACCGTTCGAGCAAATGTTAAATGCGCACATTGAAATAAATTCCTTTGCACAGCCGAGAATCGAACCTACGGCCTCAGATGAGAGTCGCATGCTGAAGTCACAATCACTGCTCTAATTAATGTTAATTACAAAAAAAATATTTTATTTTCATGAGAAACTTAACGTAATAATAATTGATACTTCCTTTTTAATACAAAATTAATTTAACAAATAATCTCGCGTTTTAGGGCTGTTTAACAGTGTAAACGTCTCAAATTATACACATTATTCATATCGTAATATCAGTCTGCTTCATCTACTCCACGCCTTTGTTTTAAGGTTATATAAACAGTAGAGGATGATTACTTAAACGCTTGTTATTTTATGGAATGGAATCTCCATTTCATTTATGCAATGTCAACATTGTTTTGTTTATATCGCAATTTTGGTTCGCGTTTAGATTGCCGTAATCCACACAAATTAAACTTACACCGGAAATAATTATTTTTCTAAAAGAATTATGTTTAACTATGTGTTGGACTATTTTGTACGTAATTTTTGTGTAAATACATACGAGTAATATGTTTTGCGTTTCATAGCAGCGTATGTATTAAAATATATGCAGTAGTATAAACAATATTGTGGTGCTGATTAATAAAAACTTTCTGTTTTACCACAGTAATACAACTTTTAGTCCACAGAACAAGCTGGTTACAGACGAGATTTTTCAACAATTGATCATTGTATCTATTCTGCTATTATTGAGCAGTATAAAGAAAAAAAGAGACTACTTTATCTGGCTTTCGTATATTACGAAGAAGCATCTGATTCAAGTCTAACACTTGGCTCTCTTGACTCTTCAGGTAAACGAGAAGGTCTCTTACCTTACACATATGTGGGCAGAGCAAGTCAAAGTCAAAAATCATTTATTCGTGTAGGTAACAGAATGTACACTTATGAACGTCAAAAAATAAATATAGATGAAATGCTTCGAATTTAACATTTACTGCCAGTTCTAAAATCAAGAGCGTAGAAAGGAAGAGAAGAACTGGCAATAAACTATCCGCCACTCTTTTTAATCGCCAAGTTTTTTGTTTTACACAACGATTGTAAGGAGCTGCAACCATTACACCATGTAGAGCCAATTCAGTCCAAGAAGAAATACAATCCAATACACTACGTGGGTAAGGGAATATCTTTTAAAAATTGACTGCATCATGAGGAAGTCGAGAGACGAACTTGGATGACATGGAACAAATTCTGGAGATACAAAGAAATACTGAAGGCAGAGATACCAATATACTCAAAGAAGAAATTTTTAGACACGTGTTTATTGCTATGTCTTTCTTACGCTAGTCGATTATTATTATTACTATAGTACGATTCGAGTACAAACCAAAGAATGACATTTTGTGAACGAGAATAGCAGTGTACTTAATTTAAAACTACAGAACAAGATCAGAAATAAAAAAATATAACAAAAACTATTGATGCACTTAAAAAAACTTAAGTGGAAATGGGTGGGCCATACCACTCGCGTATACAGACTGATGGACATGTGGATGGATGTAACAAGGTGGAAAGAAAAAGAGGTCGCCTCTTGCACTGGCGGACAATCTTAAATTAAGTTTGTTGCTTAAGTTGATGGGGAAGATTAGCAGAAAAATGTTCAAGATAGAGAGCCGGTTGGAGATGGCCTTTACTCTTTAAGACGTTCTTGAAAAAATATAGCTAGTTTCATATTCAAGTAGGAATGTGTATCTTTTGTTGTTAATACAAGTTCTAGTTATCTCTGAGAGATTGATCATAAGATTCAATACGTTTCGACATACGGGAGTCTCGACTCCTATATAACTCCTCGTTATATATTAGAAAAAAGTCCTCTTTTATTTACATCCCAATTTTACACACACAGATCTAAAATGAACATGACTACTCAAAATGTTTCTTGTGTTGTATCCCGCATCGTTCACCAGTCATAAAATTGGTAATATTGTTAATTTTAAACGATAAGTGTATTTACAAGGCGTGAAATAGTTTATAGGTAAATTCTTTTAATGAATATTATACATAACATTATAAAGCACAGACTACAAATATGTTATAGACCAAATATAAAAACTCTTTTCTCCAACTTCGATTTTGTTCCCTTTGGAGTAGAGACTCTTGGGCCGCGGGGTTCAAGTGCACAGGCGCTAATAAAAGATTTAAGTTTGCGGCTGGTAGATAGTACCGGTGACCCTAGAGCTGGAGCTAATAATCGCAATACAGCGAAGAAATGCTGCCAGCGTTAGTGGTTAATTTTTATATTTGTTTTAATTTTGTTTATATTAATTTTTATTATTATTATGTAGGCTAAGAAAATTGTTAATACAGTATATTTTAAATGTTATGTTTAGGTTTTGATAAACGATGTTTATTACAAATATGTTAATAATATCCGTTATGAATATATAATTTAGATAATATTGTGTGATGTTAATTTCATAAACACTACGATGGTTTGATGTTTCAATTGAGGTCAATTTCCAGGTCTAGGTTCAAGTAATATATCACTGAACTGTTAATTTGTCTTTACTCACTTGACTATTGCCATATTAATTTGAATAACTTTTACTCATAGGTTAATGTTGCATTAAAATTATAATTAATTAATAATGACTTTAAATGATTAAGTCAAGAAATTTTTTTTGACGTGACAACGTCTTGTAATTCGATGGAGTCGGCTGCACGCACGAAAAAACATGACGCATGCGGCGTTACCTCGCTCTGAGGCGTTCCATTTAAGGCTTGAAGTGCAAGCGAGAGCGCGGAACGAGCGACAAAGAGGCACAATCGGCCTCCGCGTTCGGTTGCCTTCGACATATTTATTGTATATAAAGTATATATCGTATTATATCGATTATATTGTAATCGATCAATTCAATTGTGATTTCTATTTACCTCCTTCTCAATATCCATACAAAATATCTATCAAACAAATAAAATTAAATTTTTCTTTTGAAAAATGCAACCATTCCATCAGTATTTTCTTATGACGTTGTCAAGTTTAAGTATCGTCAGTAAACTGACTTTACAGATAACCGATTTTGTTTTTTTCCATCAATTTTTGTAACTTTCTTTGACTCATGATTAACTTGATTAATAAAATATTAATGAGAGGTGAGCTATGGCACAAAAACCTCTCCTAATAGGTAATATCTTCAGACTATCACAGACACATCAAACACCGATACAACAGCTAAAGACGATTTTATCTCATAAAACATTCTTCGTTATTTCATGTCAGTTTATTAAAATACTTTATTAACAATTCCTGCTTTATGTTGTTGGTTTTATGATACGAATAAAAATAACAATACCATGTAGTCAACATCGCTGTGTGTAGCCGAAAATTTTAAAGGTATGTGAAACTTGGACTTTTACTTGTCAAAGGGATGCCACAATGCAAATATTCTAAGAAATATTTCACAGAACTAATTTTGCTGGAAAAAAGTTATACTTTTTTAAATTGACGTCCTACTATAGCTATGGAGCAATGTACTGTTCTATGTACGTAATTATAGCTTGCTTTTGCGGTAGAGGAAAGCATCATAAGACAACTGTGTTAAACCAAAAAAGTAAGACGTATGACACAAAAGGCTGATTACTATTGCCTATTAATAATTAAATATCTTAATTGTAAGCCATCAAGTTTTTGTTCTGAGCCTACACCATTTTCTTCCAGTATGTCCTTTTTTATTATGAAATTATCAATTTATCTACGTTGTATTTTGGATGTCGAAGAGAGTCCACGATAAGCTCCATACGCGGCTATAATAGGTATATTTTACATCTTCTTCTTCTTATAGTGCCATCTCCTTGCGAAGGTTGGCGATCATCATGGCTGGTTTGATTTTGGATGCCGCGCTTCTAAACAATGACTTGGTGCTTTAACCAAACCATTTTCTTAAGTATTTCAACGAGAGTGCGTCTGCGGCCAGGTCT